AACTGACAATTGCAGAGGTGTTCTGCTTCATCTTTGATCTTAGAGTTGATGTAGTTGGTGATGAATCCCAAATTTACTCCAAAAAATGTCCCGTTCACCAGAGAATTTAAAGTTATAATTATTCTATATAATGTTTATATAGACACTGAATATATACAAAGATTTATTATTTTTAGGACTGTGTCCTGTAAACAAAAACCCTTTTAATTATTTTACACACGTAGATTACGGTGGGGTAGCGTGCAATGTATATTATTTTGTTAAAGGGAAAATTATCATAGTATTTATAACCTTAGAAACTGATTTTTGTATAGAGTATATAGTTAGAAATCAAACAAAGAACTGTAGTGCTTTCCAGATTTGCCCCAAGGAGGGACACAGAGTTTGCAATAAGCTCTGTGTCCATCACCTAAAATGTAGCTCAGAGATTTAGATGCATTAATGCACCTTGTTAACCAGAGAAGCGGCAACGCAAGCAATAGAGCCAAAATCAGCAACGTAGAAGTCATTGAGCACAATAGCGCTTTATGTCTAACCTACAGAATAATCGAAACTATATTTACCTGCAGAACACTTATATCTGTCACAGCTGATGTTAGAATAGATAAAAAATCCTAAACTCTCAGTGAGCTGAGAATGGGCAGAGACCATTAAAGGGGGAAGTGCTAATACTGTAAGGATAACAGGTGACACAGCTGTCTGTGATGGTTCATGGGCTTTTATTTTAAATTATACTTTTTTCCACAAAGGGAAAATGACATAGTGGACATTTTTTAGTATTGTGTTTTCGTTCTGAAATGGAACTGTATGTGGTTTTGTTTTTATTTATATACAGAAATTGCAAAGGACTGACTGGGGCTTTAATTCTACAAAAAACAAAAAAACATCTGGAAGCAGCTGGTCTGGATGCAGGACCCAGTGATTGGAGGGCAAAACCTTTTTTTTTCCAGCAGACTTTATTACATATGTGCTCCGAATGCTGGAGTTTTCTTTAAAGCTTTCTTTCTGTTGTTTGATTACGGGAACACTCAGAGAACCGAGGTTACGTAACCTCCAGTGCATCTCAGCTCGCTCTGAGAAAGTGCGTTAAATTATTTCATCCTTCAGGTCAAAATGAACTTCATCTTTCCTCATTTCTGCTAATTTTTCCCATACGTGCATCAGATTTGTTAACGTGACATGAAGAATGTCTTCAAATGCTTTAAAAATCCTTCGAATGGCCCAAATGCACTAAAACGAACCTTTGACGCAACACTGTAAGAGTATAAAAATTGTTTATTCTTACAAAAGCTGTAAGACTAAATGACTTAATAAGCAACAATCAGTCTTGTGTATTTCATACATTAATAGTGATTCCCAAATAATAAAATGAACATTAACAACCACGATTTGTAGAAATGAGACCACATCTGTGTGGTGTGAGTCTGGCTTTACGTGCTTGGGTCCAGATCCTGCCAACATTGTGACGCTTTGTCTGAAGAGTAGCACCATCAGCCATTACAGATTTATGTATTCCAAACAGTGTGCAGTGTGTGTGGTGTAGACATGTGTGACACAAAGTATATTTTATACATTCTGTCGTGACTGCGTGAATTCCTGTAGTTTCATGAAAAAAGCTATTTTCACTCATGCTGCACAACGAGGATATATTTATTGATTTATGTATTTATTTATGAATTTATTGTAATTATTGTACGCTGGAAGAATATTTGTGTGGACACGACTTCTTTCAATGCTACCTGCCTCATTTAAATGGTGGAAATATATAACTTTGCAGACCTGTTGAACTTGAGAGATTTATTGAGAGGAATATTTCTTGCAATGAGGGGATTGTTTGTGCAGTCATGACTTTGTTGTGTATTGCTGTATTTGTGGGTGATGTACTGTGCTTGCATTGAGGGAGGGGTGCGGTACGCTCCTCCTCGCCGGTGGTGTTCAGTGTTGTGTTTAGTCTCTCGACCCTGTTTAGTCACACGCAGCTTCTTCAATGGCACTAACACTGAGTCTGATATTTAAAGTTCTTTCTATTACACAGCCTGCCCTGTTGGCCTTTTGTGATACAGGATACCTCCAAGATTTGAGTTCACTGCTCTCAGCATTGAGGTCACGGGTGGAGCAAAATGTTTAAAATGGAGTTTAAAAACGTACAGCTTGCTTTTGATGTGGAAAGATTGGATTTTTGCAACCTTCACGACAACACTGTAACAATATTCCAGTTAATATTTGCAAGCATGAATCTGTTATTTTACAGTGTTCCTACTGTAATCTACAACAACAGTTTCCTGCTGTAAAAATATTACAGCACTGTGCAGTATCTAATATTCAAAATTACCTGTATTTTCACAGCTGTTTTGTAAACTTAGAACCTCTTATTCTAACTGTGGTGGAAAAGTGAATATTGTTTGTTAAAGTTGGCAAAACTTCTTCAACAGGGCTTTAAAACCTGAATGATTTGGGGTAACTCAGCCCTGATTCAACCCCTGCTTTGACTGCAGTGCATCCCAAATGTATTTGAAAGGATTTAAAACAGATATATGGACCCAGGCTCACACTGCTCCCAACAGCTACTTTATGCACATCTACGAACCCAAAACCCTCAAAACCTTCCACTTACTGTACAAAGATAGTATAGCTGTTAATTTGTAAATATGTATTTTTTAATAGAGTACTATTTATATGTTGACTTTGGCCATTGTATGTGTGTTTGGTTCCTTTTTAGTTCGGGGTGCACATTGTCATTACTGTATCTCTCACTCTGCTTCTTTGGCTCTTAACATCCAGCAGATCACCGGTGGCCGTGTTAGATTGTAGTTCGTCTATTCTTCTGCTTCCTTTTTGGGTGTAAAGTAAGCAAAAGCTCCCTGAAATGTGGTGGATATTAACCCAGCCCTAATCATTTAGATCGCCTGAGACCTGGTGGATGTTAACTGGTTAACTAGTACCCTTGCACATTGTACACAATCTGCCTGTGAGTAAGAGTCAACTCACAGACTAACACTGCTGTCCCTGCTCTTTACTGTCCACCGGCTGTACGTGCCTGGTCACATTACACTCAGAGGTGTTTAGCACTGCTCAGTTTGGTTAGGACTTTTAGCCATATTGTTACACTTGAAAATTTCACAATAAACTGTCAAAGCTTTTGTGTTTTAAACCAGCAGTTCTGGTAATATTCATGCATCGTCATAGATATGAATCTATCACCAAGGAACAGGTCTCAACAGTTCACTTTGGCTGCTGTGATCTTTGTTCTGTTTGTGTTTCCGGCGTCGGTTTGGTCCTAACGTGTGTTGTTGATGTGTAAATAGATGTTTGAGTGTCATGTACTGTAATTCTGTTTGTGCCTCTCTCACTGTTATTAAATGTGTGTCTTTGTGAGAAAGCTTCCCGTTGCTTCCAGTACGTTAGAAAGAACTCGCTGGTTTACTCAGTAACAATAAACGAGGTTCATCTGAAACTTGAAGGCCGTGCTGTGGTTAGTGACTGGGTGTTATTTTAGACATGTTTCAAAAAGCCATTATCTTTATGGATCGTCTTTGAGTGGCAGCCAAAAATGAAGCCAAGTGATATTGATCATATGTTTTGATGGAAATAGACCAAGCTGGTGATTTAGCTTTTTATTTTATTTTATTTTTTTACATTTTTCTGTGCAACAACAGTGATGCACCCCGGCCTTTTTTGTTTGTACTGTACAAACCAGTTATTATAATGTTGTTAAATAAAATATTCATCATGTAACTACACACAGTGTGACCATCTTTCTTTCAGCACTCATGAAATTTTGTTTATAATATCCTCTTAACACGTAGTGTATCATATTTGATACATACAGTTTTTATGAGTTTTTGAGATTGCACAATACACTATTGAGCAAAAAAAATACAAGGTGCAGCAAATATGATACAAATTAAAACTAATCTATGCAAATTAATATATTTTTTATTTGTCAGGAGGCTCAATAAATGTTCCATGTTCAAAAAAGACTTTTTAGAATTTTCTGGCAATTATTTCATGGTTCAGACTTTAAAAGGATATTACATTTTCCTCCCTCATAATCTAAACACTGACTTATTCTGAGTTATTCAATAAAAACTGAGCCAAAATGCAGAAGTGGTGTTTGAAAAAGTGAGTACATCCCACGATTCAATAACTCGGAGAGCCACTTTTATCAGCAATAACTTAAGGTCATGGTTTTCTGTGTGTCTTTATCAGTCATGGCTGAGGAGGAATTTCAGCAAAGCCTTCTTTACAACGCTGCTTCAGTTCATTGAGGTGTGTGGACATTTATTTATTCACAGCTCTCCTGAGGTCCTGACACAGCATTTCAGCTCAAGTTAGATTGCAGTCTGGCCATTGATTGGACCACATGATTCGTCTTTTTCAGTCATTCAGATTTGCTGCTGTGCTTGGGATCATTGGCCTGTTGCACGACACAGTGTCGCTCAGGCTGAAGCTGTTGGGCAGATGGTCTCACATTTGACTCTAGAATACGTTGGTATAGAATGACTGCAGGTACCCAGGTGAATCTTTTTTCAGTTTCTCCTTATATATATTTATATATCATACCTTATATCTCCTGTTCCATTGGTGGACATTCATATTAAACATGGCAAAAGTTAAAAATAATGAGATCCGTGTGTCCACAAGTAATTCCTTCACATTGCTCTAAACACTTGGCTTCAGACAGGTATACCTTTTTTTTTATTAGTATGAAGTTATAAAGACAAGATATCCCTAAAATGGTCATCTCAGGAAAAGAAGCTCCACCCACCTGCCGTTCAAACCTTCTGTTGTTAAGTGTCAGCCAATCAGAAGGAAGGGAGGGGGAGGAAGCTGAACCACCTTGTGTCAGATGAATATAGGTGCAGGATGAACAAGTATCATGTCAAGTTGTGAAAAATGCAAAACTACTCTGGTGTCCAGTAAAACATGAAGTTTGAGATAATGCTAAGCATGTTGATCCCGAAGCCTTTGGGGGTAAAGTGAGCCCCTGTCCCCGTCCTGCTCCGTCATCGTGCAGCGCCGGAAAGGGCCGAGCAGAAAAAAGAAGGAGGCGTTTCCACACATCAGCTGCAAATTTATGCAGAACAGTAAAATCAGTGCTGCTGCTGCCGCTTCGAGCGTCCTGCACAGAGAAGAAGAAGAAGACGGGCGAAAAGAGCAGCAGCACCGGGCACAACGCAGACAAGAAGCCCGGCGGATCGTTGCATCGCTCGGTGTCGCTCTGCAGCGGGCAGCCGGTGCAGGAGGAGCCGGACGAACCCGGAGCGGTGACGGTAAGGTCGGAGCGAGAGCCGCGTTAACGAGCCAGACAGCAGCGGTGGAGGCGGGGGGCTAGCGGGAGGCTAGGAGGAGTAGCCTCCGGTGGATCCAGTGTTAACTGGTCTGAAACATGGAGGATGGCTAGCTAACGTTAGCGCTGTGTGAGCTGCTCAGGTGGCTGTTTTTGAGCTGGTGGAGGCTGGAGACGGAGGCAGACTGTAGGTGCTGGGACAGGATGGTTGGAGGAGGAGGAGCAGTGATAAAGGAAACTGCAAAAAAAAAAAAGATTGTGAACACCTGGTCTGAACAAGTCCTGTAAGGTGGTGAAGTAGATGCAGAAAGGCTGTGTGAGCGATGCTTTTGGAAATGTTTCTCATGCAGGAGCCTTTGTACTAAAGCACGTTTCCCCGTTTTATTCCTGTGAATCCCCGAAAATGGATGCTTTATAATGACTTCCTACCTAAACCAGATAACCTGATTAAAATGATAAACTGCTGCAAAGAGGAAAAGAATGTGCATTTTTAAATTGCATGTTACAGTTAATTATATCTTTACAGCTGCCATCTTCATCCCCTCACACGTTTCAGGCCTTTTCCTGCATGTCCAGACGTGCAAAACGGAACAAGAAAAAAATCTAATGCAGAGCTTTAATTTACACAAGCATAAAATACACCTTTGTTTATCAAATGGTCAAAAATAAGAAGAAAATGCACAGACTTCTGTCTTTTATCACTTCACTCTGAGGTTCATACGTTACAGCAAATATTTGCTTTTTCTTACACACAGATTAGTGTGTAACAGTAACCATGCATTGATGATAAAGGTGATGATGGCAATATTGTGTCAAAAATCCACGTCTTTAATATCAGAGATGACTGAATTTTGTGCATGGTTGCAGAATCCTTTCCACCTCCAGCTCTCGCATTTTGAGTTTAAAGCATTTGCAAAATGATTTGACAGATATCTTTTTTTTTTTGCACATTTTTCCCTCATTTTCTGCATATATGTAAAGAATATTATTATTATTATTATGATTTTGTTTTTTTACCACAATCCCTGTGACAGCCTGACTTACATTAATTTGGCAAATCTGTAAATGCAACCTGATTTCATTAATCATTTTAGTTGTGCAGTTTAGAGGTACTTTCATAATCTTCCTGTCTGCAGGATGCATGTTGTGTGTGGTTAGTGTGAGGGGGTTAAAATTGAATCTGCAGCTTGTCCACAGCATGTAAAACAAGAATGTGGTGGATCGGTCTTATATTGGGCTTTGGTGAAGCTACTCAGTTCATCGACTGCCCCTTAGGTCAACTTTCTGTTGATTGGCTGCCCCTCATAAGCAGAAGGTTTGAACAGGAGGTCGGTGGAGCTTCTGTATACCTGAGATGTCCCCTTATTTGGACATCCTACAGATCCAAGCAGGAAAAAACTGCATATAATTTACCAAAGTTTCAAGTAATGAGGGCAGTAAATGTAATCTTTCATATGAACGTCCATACTAAATCCATCCGTTATAGTGTGCGTGCATGCGTGTGTGTGTGACAGAAAAAAGGAAAAGCTTGATGGAAGCCCTTTAAAGGTGTAAACTGGTCTGTGGAGCATTGTGTCCGTCTCCATGGTGGCGATAGGAAAAAACAGCTGTCAGCGAGACACTCAGTCGTTGTGATTTACTGCCATAAAAAATGAAAACATTTTAAAATGTTGAAAGTGTTAAAAATAACCAGCAGCAGAACTACATCAGTCATCCACGCTGTAAAAAGTGTTTCACAGCATCTCGACTCTGTGAGGTCTGCTGTTTGTCAGGAACCGTGACAGGTGTGGAGTTTTTTTCCTCCTCTATCCATCAGACTCTCGCAGAGAGAGAAACTGGTGTTTGTTTCATCCTGTGTTTGACTGACGGACGCCTCATCTGTCTCCTCAGCAGCCATGGAGACAGACGGAGAGCAGAACCAGCAGGGGGCCTCGACCAATGGAAGCGCTCCGTCTGGGACCAGCTCCCGCCCCTCTCCCATGAATTCCATGTCTCTGTATGAAAGGCAGGCGGTCCAGGTAGGTGTGAGTGTTTATACCTGTGTGGCTACAGGACCAGACCACATTGATTTTCACACGCTGACAATGAGTCCTCACTTCATGGAAAAAGCTTTTAAAGGCTCGGTTCACAGCTGCCTTTAGAATTCAGATTAAGAGCAGTTTAGTTTAACAGTTAAAAACTAACACACATGTTAGTTAGCTGGATTTCCAGTTTTGGGCCTCAGTAATAATCCAAGTGTGCCAGGATTGTTGTGCACAAAGGGGGGAAAAGGCATCGCGTAAAAAATATTTAAAATGCTTAAAAATGTAAGTTTTGTTCGACAGGAAATGCGTTTCTTTGTTTGTAAATGTGAAAAAAGGGAGACATCCCTGATTAGAAACCAGTGCTCATCCTCAAAAACTCCCCTCCCCAAGTAGGAAGTGGTCATAATCTTCATGGGGTGGCTTTTAATGACCCCTACCATCTTTAATATCTCGCTGTTCTCACACTTGAACCATACCTTGAGGGTGATAGCCCGGCAGCATGGTGCATTGTTCTGCTTTCGAGTTGTTATTGTTGGGCTAAAAGTAGGTTGCATGCCTGGGGATTAGATTGCACGTATACAGGTCTAGATTCAGGTCTAGACTTTAAAAACGTGACTCGTGGGAGCGTTTGGTTCTTTGCATAGTTTAAAACTCATTTCAGATGCGTCGTGAAACACGTAAAATAGATCCCTGTGGCAAAACCTTCACTGTGATGTAGGCGGAGCATTTATAATCCTGCCAGTGAACAAAATTGTAATAAAAATTAATAGAAAATGATGATATCACTTTGCATTTTCGTGTCCAAATTGTGTTTTTGGCTGCAGCGTAAACATGGACTGTTTGCGTGTAAGCAGGGGCAGAAAGTGTGTGTGTGGCTCATTTGTCTTCATAATTTCTGATTTATGTGTTAGCCGATGGACAGAAACTGATGAAGACTGACTGAATCGGGGGGGGTAAAGAAAAGAGACCGAGTCGTGCTGGGTGTGATGGAGGCTGGGTGTTATTTTCTCAGGCTTTTGTCACCCTGCACGGCCATCTGTCTCTGTCACCCGGCACACACTAATCCAGCCCGCCGCGCTCGCTTTCATCCCCCGACTTATTACTGTACGAGCCTCCCCTCATACATCAGGCAGCTGGCAGGTTTCTGCAGCTTCGCTCTCTCTCCGCTCCTTCTGCACTCGTTTCTCTCAGTCTGCTCTATCCCCTCAATTTTCTCTGCACTTCCTTTTCCATCCTAAATTTCTCCCATCCCTCACTCTTTCATGTCTTCTTCTGACTCTTTGCCGTCATGTTTTCCATCCCCAACTTTTCACAGCACTTTACTTCCTTCATGCTCCATTCCTCCCTCCCCCTTTTTTTTTTTTCTTCTCCTTCTCCAAAATGCTGTCCCTCCTTCAGTTTTCATTTTTGGCCGTCTGCTCCTCCCTCCAGGCCCTGCAGGCGTTACAGAGACAGCCCAATGCCGCTCAGTACTTCCAGCAGCTGATGCTGCAGCAGCAGATCAACAACGCAGCACAGCTGCAGAACCTGGCAGCTGTGCAACAGGTAAAGGTGTGTGCAAATTTCACTTTGTTTCTTTCAAGTAAAGGAAGTTATAAACATCCTGCACGTGTTGTTTGCAAAGCACAAAGAAAAACTATTGTAAGAAATAAAACGATACATGATGACGCTATAACAGCGTTGCATAAGACAGATTGCCACCTACTTGCATGCAATAATTAACTCCCATGAAAACCAGAAGAAAAAGGTGGGGAGGCCACGTCTACAGTCGATGCTGGACAGCTGTGGGTTGTAAAACATGGAGGCTTTGTGGCCAGAAACAAAGCTGAGCATATTTTGCATCACCCACACAACAGCCTCTGTAAACATCTCAGTTTTCATTTTGTTTGGAGTTTATTGAAACCTTAAGCTGCTTTTTTCCTCTGTCTCTTCCCTTTCTTCGTTTTACTTTCTTTGTTTTTTTAAGGCCACTCTGGCTGCCAGTCGTCAGTCAAGCCCCTCCAGCAGTAGCTCTTCTCAGACTACCAGCACAACCGCAGTACGTAATCATACAAAAACGATAGCTCTTTATGCCACAAAATCAGTACCGCTTTTTTTCCTTCGAGCCACAAAGGATCTTAAAGATGCACGTTCCTGTTCTTCAGGTCAATGTAACATCTGGATCAGGGTCTACAACCAGCAGCCGTCCAATGGGTGCCTCAGCAACATCCACAATCAGCCAATCAGTGCTGCTTAGTGGGACAGCCGGAGGGCAGGGCCAGATGTACCTGAGAGTGAGTTTGATCAGATGGTTTATGTGCGGCAGCTCAGTTTTGTGCATTTTAATGGCTTTAATGTCTTTTTGTCCTGCAGGTGAACCGCTCCCTTAGGACGCCTATCCCCTCCCAGCTCATTTTCATGCCCGGCAGCACTGCAACTACTGCTGTGGCAACTGTTGCCCAGCAGCCACAGGCTCAGCAACAGCAGCAGGAAGTGCCTCCGACTTCCTCATCCAGCAGCCAATCTGATAACGACCAGGTGTGTGGCTAACATAAAAATGTTCTCATGGCTTGAAGACACATTCTTTCGTTCTTCAGCAACAAAGTGACAGATGGGTGTTTTCACCCTAACATTTGCTCTGTGCTCCATCTCCAGGTACAGAATCTAGCCATGCGAGGTCTGTCGGGTCCTAAAGGTGTGGGTGTTAAGACTGAAGCCCCAGAGAGAAGTGACTCGGGTAGGAAAGAAAGAAGAGGAATTAAACATATAAATGAGCTTTGTAATGCTCTGAAGGTTGTGTATGATGATGGAGCCTGTGGTGGATTTGGCAGAAATTTCAGAAGCGTACACTTAATTTGGACTTTCTCATTTTAGTTATAATAATATTGAAGCAAATTCATGACAGTGATTCAGGTTTAAATGCTTTTATATGTAACGTAACGTTAATTTGGGGGTGAACTGCCGTTTTAAATGTGATGAATCACTAAATAGACACTAATATATTTTCATTCTTATTTTTCCCAGCTGCCTACTCGCTGGTCCAGCCCTCTCACCAGTCTACCACTCAGTCCCCCACCAAACCAAGCCAGCCTCAGCCCCAGCCATCCCACATCAAAATCCCTACCTACCCCCAGCCTACTAATCTCAAAGCTCACCCCGTCTCTTCTTCCGGTGCCTCGTCGTCCTCGTCGTCTTCCATCCCTCTCTCCCAGCTCTTACTCCACGGTACTCGAACCCTCACCACAGGAACCACAGCTCCCACAGCAGCACATACTCTAGTCTTGACATCCAACGCCACATCTCAGCCCCACGGGTACCCGGTGGGCACGGCAACCATCAAACCAGCGGTCAACGCTCAGACTCTGGTGGTGCAGCCTCTACAGAAAACCTCACTCGGTGCTGAGAAATCAGGCCACGGAAACGGACCCATCCCCATCCAACCTAAAACTTTACAGGGGCTCCGCCTGCCCCTCCAGCTTCCTTCAAGGAACCCCCCTCCCATCCTGCCTGCTCCGCCGCCTGCCAGCAGCTCCAGCCAGCCTCCCCACACGCCTCACATCCCAGTGCAGATAGTGGGAGCCAGGCAGAGCACACTTGGAAATGCCCAGGCTCTCGCTCTGGCCCGTGGCAGCTGCAGCCAGGATGGTGCCGCCGTCCTCAGCAGCTCCTCTAGTCTGCTCACCATGGTGGCGTCCATCGCTTCCAGGGAGGGTGGAGTCGTCGGCCGAGGGGTGGGGCTGAAGACGCTTCAGTCACCCCAGGAGGCTCCCCCCTTGGCTCAGGTGTCTCAGGTGCATCCACAAGCCAATCAGAGCTCTGGACAGAGTCAGAACAGACAGCTGGCTTCAAGCCCTGCCTCTTGCTGGCCCTCCACCATTTCATCTCCTCCCCCCTCGCTGTCTCGCTCCTCCCTCTCTCTCCACCTGGTGACCGAAGAGCAGAGAGCAGCATCAGCTGGTGTAACCACCAATGGAGACTCATCAGGAGGTCAGACGCCACAGGTCAGCTGAAGCAGGATTTAAGTGATTCTCATGAATCAGACTTGATGTTTTTCTAACCCACACACATTTCTACATGTCACAGATGGTGATTTTGGGTTCTAGCACTAAAACAAACACGCTACTCAGCCATAACTGCTCCTTGTGTAAATATTACATCCTACAATCACTCTCAGTGTCTGTCTGTATCTGTTGGCACTTTCTGTTTAGAGTAAACAGACGACTGGCTCTCTGAAAAGAAAATCAGACTCGAATTCAGCCAATGACGAACATGGCCCCTCCCCTCCACGGCTCCAGCCAGTCAGAGATCATGCCTCGGCCATCCCAGCCAATCCCATCGATGCAGGTAATAACATAGAAATACATCCCTGTAAAATACTGTCAACACACACACTCGGTGAAAAACAGTATTTATCTTCCTCTCACCTCTCCAGGCTCTGCTGCTCCTCCTCCTCCTCCACCTCCTCCTCCTGCATCCTCTCCTTCTCCTCCTGCATCCTCTCCTTCTCCAGTGCTGCTGGTGTCCCGTGGGACTTGTGGTCAGGGTGAGAGAGCTCCTCCACCTCAAGCTGTGGTTAAACCGCAGGTTCTTACACACCTCATAGAGGGCTTTGTGATCCAGGAGGGGGCGGAGCCTTTCCCTGTGAGTACATGGGATTTGTAGTTTGTTTTTTGTTTTGTTTTTGTCGGTCGCTGACTCTTAAACTGAATTTGTGTTTGACAGGTCTGCGGTCCAGTCAAGGACTCGGCTGGTGAAGATTTGACTAACGACAGTCCAGACACTAACCCGTCGGAGACTGTTACCACAGCAACAGGTAACAGCCAGACTGCTTAAAGCAGTGCTGCTTTAAAGACACGTTTAAGGGCTGAAATCAGAATCATAAATATCTACTGTAAGGTTTCTGGGATAAAGTTGCCTCTGCATGAGAAACGGCTCTTAAAATCTTGAAAATCAAAATGTGATTTCTGCATTGCTGAAGTCTCTGTGCATTAGCCATAGTACATGTTTTATTGTTGTTGTTCTTTGGCCGTTAGCGTTTTATTATCCTCTAGATTTTTAGTTATTTACTTGGTGTGCCCAGTTTTCTAGCTAGATTCTCATTTTCTTCTTTTAAGTCACACAGTCATGATTTGCTGCAGTTTTTTCTTTATACTGTACACGGTGACTGCCATACTGGACAGTAGATTACAGTAATGTATATTAAAGGCAGACCTTGGTACAGCTGATATCTTCAAAACTGAAACGCATAAAAAAATTTTGAGCATTATGAATGTAGAGAATTGGAGGGAAAATATGAACAATATGAATTGTTTTTTTGTTTTGATTTTTTGGTGATCTGTCCCTTTAACATTATAACATGGACATGGCTTATGGGATTTAATGTTGTGTAACAAGATGACCCTTGTTTGCCCCGTTTGTTTGAGCTGGGCTGCAGGAAAGCATAAAGACTTTAATTATAACTTTCAAGCTGGGAATTTCCCACCTCTGAGTCTAAACCGCAGGCAGCGCGATATCACAAGAAAATATCATCGCAGTCTGATTTTCTGTGTGTGGACCGGGACTCATAACCCGTTGGAGTATATAATACCACGTTTGCGTTTGTGTATTATTCACCATCTGCTTTGTTCTGTCTCTAAACTCTCTCCTCAGTGCTGAAGTGTGAATACTGTAAAAACTTTGCTCCTGCCAGCCAGTTCCGAGGCACCAAAAGGTTCTGCTCCATGTCTTGTGCCAAGAGGTACTTCAAAATGCATGAAACATATACAGAATAAATCACTGTACTGCAAACAGCTGCAGCCACTTCAGCTTATTTCACAGTGCGAGTGATGAACGTCTGTTTCTAGTTACAGTGCAGTTTGTCATAGATGCTGTGCAGTAAGATTTGGATATCTTGAAGTCAAACAAAACTGCATAAAGCTCAAAACCTCAATCCTCTTTGAGGCTTTTAGTTCTTAGTTATATACAGTGTTTCTCACATAACTGCACTGTAATTGTGCCATGCAGTGCATGTGTGTGCCTTCTTAAATAAATGGAAAATAAATCCTTTATATAATAACGTCTGCTTTCCCATCTACAAACTGTAGCATCTAGAACTGCAGCTGAAGGCTGACTGCTTTAGCAGAATCGACTGCGCGCATATATAGATGTATATAGTAGGGGTGCAACGATACACAAAATTCACGGTTCGGTTCGATACTTTTGTGTCACGGTTTGATATTTTTTCGATACAAAAAAATGTTCATTCCTTTTTAATTTGTCATTTATTAAAATTATAAATATATATTTTAACTCAAAAGTACAGTTTTTAAATTTACTGTTGCTGAAACAACAAAGGGATAAAAAAAATAAATCTATCTGATGGAGAAATCACTCATCTTTGGAAAAGAGAGTTTATTACAGAGAAATGGCTCTTTCAAAATAAAAGCTATACTATACGCTTCTTCTGGGCTATATTCTCAGCAGCATATTAAACATATCATAAGGAGAATCCTGTGCTAACGGCTGTCTAAATGACTTGGGTAAAGTTTGTAGCATGCGTGCTTGTTGTTTTTGTCTGCTTCCACTTGTCTTTGCACTAGGATGATGTCGGAGTAAATGTGCAGTCATATTTGTTGTGTTCCCACTAGTGCTGTCAGCGTTAGTCTGATATGACCTTAGCGCCACAACACGGCAAATCTCCGTTAACGAGCTACCGCGGATCGCCCCGTGCGTGGGGCTAGACGGCCAACACGTTAACGAGCTAACTGCGCTAACACACTAGTTCCCACCCATGTAATTGAGCATTGCATGGCACATCCGACATACTGTTTTACTTTAGTCCATGACGCGCTTACCTTCAGGGTCATACGTCACATGAAAACCAAAATAGTTCCAAACGCCAGATCTGAATCAGGGTGGGGGAGGTTCAGTCGTTGAGGCAGTTGGCATTTTGCAACAAGCTTAGCTTCTGTCTTGCTAGCTTGCGCTGCGCTCAGTGGAATTGCGCTCCACAGTGCAGCCTAGGCGGAGTAGTTGAACGCACTGAGTGCTCCACACAGACGGCATCGTCAGAAGAAAAGTTGATAAAAATTTTTTAAATTGTGTTGTTCGATACATATGCGTACCGAACCGAAAGCACTGTATCGAACGGTTCAATATCGATAGGAGTATCGTTGCACCCCTAATGTATACATATATATAAATATATAACAAACAGAAGGGTTACCCATCTGAAACAGGATGGGCTATGCCAGCTGTTTAGCATCAAGTGAGCTTTCAAAGTAAGAGTGAGGAGGCTGTACTCTTGTCAGTTTTCTGTTCTGTTGGATGAAAGATGGTGTCAGCCATGGCCTATCCCAGCTGTCATGAGACAAAAGGCTGCGTACACCGTGGACTGGTCACCAGGCTGTTGTAGGGCTAACAGAGGGACACCTAGGGGTCATTTTACAGTCACAACAACAACAACATAGCGTATGTGTCTTTGGACTGTGGGAGGAAGCCAAAGTACTCAGAGGGAACCCATGCAAGCTTGGGGAGAACATGCCAGCCAATGGCTAAAAGCCATTTTTAAAAAAAAAAAAAAAAGGACACAAAATGACTTTAAATCCCAGAGCTGCCAAAGACTAGTGTGTGTGTGTGTGTGGGGAAACACTGATATATAATGAATCGATATCAAAAGCCAGTGTTACTAAAGATGTGACCCACTAAATGTTGTCTAAAACGGGACTTTAGTGTGAATTCTCAGGTGGCTCCAGCTGTAAATCTCACAGCTTGTGTTTTTCTGTTCTCATGTTTTTTTTTCTGTGTCTACATATTGTGATAGCCTCACTTCATCCACTTTCACATGCAGCATGTAACCTCGCAGTACAGTGGAGGACGCTTTGTTTCTCCTCTGAATGTGCTCCGTATTAAAATGTACACTGTATTTATTATGTGACATGTTTCAGTAGAAAACAATGCGCTGTCTGCATTGTTTGTTACAGTATGTTGTCAGCTTATGATTTGACATTTTCTGCTTCTGCTTTGTATTTGTCCCTTTGCCCACTACACGTGTATAGCTTATATACCGCGTACGGTGCAAAGAGACAAAAACTGTGTTGCTCGTCTTGGCTTCAGTACCGTATATGTCACTCTTTGTCTACGATACAGTATGTATTGGTTCCCCAGGTACAACGTCAGCTTCAGGCAGCACTTCGGCGTGCGGCAGGGTCACGGCCAGCGTCAAGCTCAAGATCACTCTTCGGATCGGGATCAGAGCCGCGGACACCTCTCCAACTCGGACGACGAGGGAGGAATCGCCAGGAGGAGGGTTCCCCGCAGGACCAGCTCAGAAATAGCCAGTGCCAAGATAGCAGGGAGGCCCATACCTGCCAAGGTGAGGCAGGATTATACAGTCCCTACAAGGAAAATTATTGGTGCAGGTCAAAAATTAGAAGTCCGATCCCAGCTGATAACTGATCTGTGTAGTTGTACTGGAGCCTTTCCTGCTTTGATCACATTTAAATAGCCTTTGCTCACATGCAGGTAAGCGGTCTGTGTGGAGAGCAAAAGAGGCATTGCATTTGTTTAGAAACGAGTGCATCAGAGGGACGGCTCAGGTTGAGCAGTTTGGAGATGCAGTTGGAGAGCCAAGGCTGATGTGGTTTGGACGTGTGCAGAGGAGGGTTAGTGGATATTTTGGGCAGAGGGTGTTGAATATAGAGCTGCCAGGCAGGAGGAAAAGCAGGAGACCACAGAGAAGATTCATGGATGTAGCGAAGGAGGACATGCAGAGCGTTGGTGTGACAGAAGCTGGTAAGAAAGAGGCTGATGATCTGAGAGCAGCCGAAAGAAGACGAACCAGCAGACGAGATGGTGGGCTCAGATTTGTCTGATGGATTTCAAACTTTAGCAAAAGGGTTTTTAAACTTTAGTGGCCTCTTAATAAAGCCTGTAAGTGTTGATATGTGCAAAATATTTGGCTCCAAATATTTTTAATGTTTGTATGTTTAACTCTGCAAAACACATATAATATTTTTTTACACCTTTTTCAGTCAATTTATTACTTTTCTATCATCCTATTGGCAGAAATGCAACTTTAAGTAGTTTTAAACATATTTGGATGCTAGAACTTTACACCCAGTCATCAATAACTGCGATCATGTTCAAAATGATCTGCTTCTACCGCAGCTTTCAGCTTCCTGGGAAGTGTTTTTTGTAAAATAACTTCACTTGTAACCACATTAAACCACATACAGATCTGGCTTTGTGCTCAGGGACATCAACACAGATGGAGGAGCACACAAATATAATTGTGCGAGGAGGGCGATCTCTTTCTAATAATGATGTCAGTGTACATACAAATAATCCATTAGTCAAAGCTCAGGCTTCAGACTGCTGAAGCTCTGTTTCAGAGGAGACATCCCCAGTGTGGTCATTTCACACCACTCTGGCTGCGAGCTTAGAAACCACGGCCAGAAGCCCAGATTAACACAAATACACTGAATTATGCCGAGTAAAGAATAGAAATGCAGAGTAAATAAGCATAAAAGAGCCCCTTTAAATTTCTCCTCCATTGTTACAAACTGGCCCCAAACCAAATGTATGAGACTCCTGAACACAAACTTCATGTAACAGCAAAAATAGACCTGAATCCATCTGAATGTGCATTTTTCACTTGTATGCATGATGAGCCTTTTGAAGTCATTACTTGCTTCTCTGTGACGGTGCTCAGGTATCTCGAGGTTTGTGCTCCTTTTTTATAAACTGTAACAATCCCCGTCTGTGCAGCTCTAATCTTTAAATATGCAGACGGGGTTTTGTCCTTGTAGCCTATGTTCATGTTTTTGCAAGCAGACCGGGACACTAGTGAACGCTGCTGCTTTTTTTTTCTTCCTCCGCTTGTAGTGCCGGTCCGAGTCGAGCCATTCAGATGAGGAGTCCAGCGTAGAGGAGGATGAAGATGACCCCATGTCTCTCTCGCCGGCCTCCTCAGCGTCCTGCCACCAGCCGCCTCCTCCGCTCCCAGCAGAGAGCTCACCACCGCCCACCTGCCTGCCTGCTAGCCCCTCCCAGTGGAGCGTGGAGGAAGTGTCACAGTTTATTTCCTCACTGCAAGGTTAGAAGATCTGATTTTTGATCTTATAATGCAGCACTGATTCACATAAAGATAAAAGGCTCGACTTCACGGTCAAGGTCAGAGGTCGAGTTATCTTCTGAATGAGTTAACTCGAGGGCAAGGGGATGCAGGATGTTGAAATTGGCACCATAGAGGTGTGTGCTAGGAGGCAGAGGGGTAGCATGGTGGCCACCAGTATTTTTAAAGCCCTTCCAGCGTCTCTCCCTCTGTGGAATCTGTGGACTCCTGAACTGATAGATGATGGAAGTGGGGGTAAAGAGGAAAATGAATGGCAGTGCTCCTGAATTAGCTGGTTTCTGGCTACTGCTGATGTTTATCTTGTGTTGCTCTGCTTTTATATTCAAGTGCAGTAATTGATGTTTTGATCAGTTCTTCTTTTAATTTGCAGTTTCATGCTTATCAACATTGTTAATACTGTACAGTTAAAATAACAGACCAGTTTCATATTAATGTGACACATTAATCTGGAGTTCAGCTGTTTCCACCTCGAACTTGATGCTTTTATTTGTTATGTAAATGTTTGCATTTGGAGCTAATGCATGAACGACTGTGTGCATTAATGTTAATGTACCATAATTTTCAACCTTTGCATTTTTGTCCACCTGTGCTTTTATCCGTCGTCCTCTCAGGGTGCGAGGATCTCGCCTCCCAGTTCCTGTCGCAGGAAATTGATGGACAGGCGCTGCTGCTGCTGAAGGAGGAGCATCTCATGTCCACCATGAACATCAAGCTTGGCCCTGCCCTCAAGATCTGCGCTCACATCAACAGCCTAAGAGACTGACCGGTGTTTTTACCACAAATCCGCAAAGTTTAAAAGTGAAGCCCCCCCGGGCATCCACCACCAGCCCGCGGGTCAGATATGGAGCTCGAGAGTCCTGCAGGTGAATGTTTGAAGTACAGTTCATTTCCCAAACACAGCAAAGACTCTGGGACTGCAGAAGTGGAATCTCATCCTGTTTCACATCAGATTCTCGCACAAGTTGTAAAAATCCTTCAAATGTGCGATTTTATTTCGATGAAGGTACACGTTCCACCAAATTCTGCTCAAAATCAATGTAAATGAAGGTTTTGAATGTATTTTAATTGCAAACGAGACTCGTTGAACCTGAAGTACTTGCTCGTTATTTTTTCTGACCGTAGACCGAGGCTGTGATTTATTTTCGTTTCGTTAAACTTCCTTTAAAAGACTGAAGATACACACAGAAGAAAACAGCTGTGCTTTGTTTTGCACAGGAATTTGGAAGGAAGACCTTTGGAAGCACTTCTATAGCACTTCCTTTGTAAAGTGAAGTCACAAATCTTTTTCTTATGTAGTTCAGCATTCCTTCAAAGACATGAATTTCATTGCGTACTTCCAGCATTCTAATTATTTGAGAAGAGTATACAATGGCACTTTTATTTTGAAGGCAGCCTATTCTTTGCGCTACAGGGTACTGTGAGAGTACAGGGTACTGGGTGCAGAAACACCAGAGTCCAAATGAAACCCTAATCCCTCAAGGTTCAAAGAGCATTTCATACTTCAAGTAAAAATACGGACGTTGCATAACTTTTTCTCACATCTTTACCGTATTGTTTTATATCCAGAGAACATCAGCTCTACTGCTGAATGCTTTTCACTGTTTTTAAGCTTTTTACCAGAGAAGTTCACGTCAACTCTGTGATTATTCACCTGTCAGCAGTTTGTGAGATTACTCAAATGGTACCACCAGCTGCTCCTGGTCTGCATGAGTGCACTTACAAGGCAAGTTCACCGGTTTGGTTTTGTGGAGAGATGCTGTCAGAGAGGAGTTCTGACAATAAGATGTTCATTTTAAAGTGTCTTTAAGTTGCATTCGTGAACAAGAGAAGTTGCTGGCCACACGTGGACCTACGATGGATGTGGGAGAAATAAGACATCACGCCTGAATGAATGAATGACTGTGTGAATGAGTGAACCTTGAAGCTATACTGTAATAAGTGTAAAGTTTGCCTTTCTATTTAAATGCACATTTGTTTGCTGGACTGCCTTGTTTGAAGCTTTTTACTGTAGGACTTTTCTCATGTTCTCTCTCTGTGAACCTCGTGGCCTTTCTCACTAGTCTCTACAACGATAGGTTTAGATGAGGATTGTCGGTTTTTACTGCTTTCATATCATTCCTTGTTTTATATCTGCGCTTACTTTTTTACAACTCTCGATTAAGCAATGAAATGTGTTGCTTTTCCCAAAAAGCGTGACTGAATAGTAGCTACTTTGATCAAGGATCAACTTGCTGTCTTCCTCATAGCTTTGTCACATAGCGTGTAACTACCAAGAGTATTTACCTTTCTAGCTAGCTAGCTATCTTTGGCTTTATTGTTAGTGACTGTGGCTATTCCAGTACTTTGTTTTTGTTTTTCTTTCTTTTTTTTTTTTTTAAAGGGTAATAATCTTGATGATGTTTGCTTATATTTCACTTTCCCCAGGATTTTGGAGTCTTTAAATCTTCATTCTAAACGCCAAAAAAAAAACCTGAATTTCGCCTCATTTCAAGTGAGGTGAGCCACAAATGCAGCTGTGATTACCTGTACAACATTTGTCCAAAATCAGACCATTGCAGCGTTGTTCGTTTAGTCTTCAACATCCCAAAAAGTAGCACTTTTCTCACAGAAGAACAGTGAATTCAGCAAAAAAACGTTCTTTTATATATAAATCTGTATACATACAAATAAGGAAGCCACTTGGAATCAAATGTCTTTGCTTGCAATAATTTCCAAAATCTGCAAAATCTAGAGGGGCTGGTTTTCACAAGAAGAGGTAATTAATACTATCATGCAAATAAATAATCAAACTGTTTTAAAGCTGTGATGCTTGTTTTTGTTGTTTGTTAGCCTGAGTAATGGTTTCGGTTTGCACTGTTGCTTTCCAAGTGTAACAAGTGCAGATCATCAGTGGGCAGTTTGCATCATTGAAACTTTAATGTTTTTGTTTTTAACTCCTCTCCCCCGGCTTGAGTTCAGGCTGAGGTGTTGTGCTGTTTTAAAGAAAGTCCCTTCAGGTTTGTTGTCCCAGATGTGATTAAACCAGTGGTCCCCAACCCCCGGTCCGTGAGTCGTTTGGTACCGGGCCGCGAGAGTTGAGGCTCAGGTGTGAAATGTATGGTTTTCAGGGTTTTTATTGGTTTTCAGCGTTATTTTGTCATCGTTTTTATCGTTTACTCGGTTTTCCTGGGTCTTTTCACGTGTGTTATGAATAAATTATTTTTTTTTCGGTACCGGTACTAGTTTTATTTTGTTGTATTTATCCGTGACACCTTAAAGGCCGGTCCATGAAAATATTGTCGGGCATAAACCGGTCCGTGGCGCAACAAAGGTTGGAGACCACTGTGATAAACTATAGACTGTAAATGAAAAATGAATGTAGTCATGATGTCATACGATCACAGTAGCTACATCCATTTTAGAGGCTCCGTGGTTAGTTTTGGCTTCAGCCGTGTTGCTGTTTCGGAGTCGGTAGAGACCATGTTTGGACCATACAGTAGTTTGGCTTTAACAAGTTGCGTTGATAAACCTTACAGCTCATGATCCTAACCTAACAGGCTTATGTGCAAAAACACATATTTTTAGGTTCTGATATTTTATTTTATTATATAGAACACCTGAAATACAACTGGTTTGAATCTATAAGGTGCTTCTTCCCGATAGCAGTTGAAAATACGTTATAATTCAGATAATTCAATTAAAATAAATAAATAAAGATTGTGGGCACATCCACAGTACAAAAACAGTTGTGAGGTCCACGGCACTGACTCCAGTTAGCAGAGGTGAGACTGGCCACAGCTGCCTGTGTTAGCACACCTCTCAATCAGGAGCACATGCACCCAGCTCCAGTTTCCAGGTGGATGACTTAAATAAAGAAACAATAACTTTATGTACACCTCTTTCTTTCTTTCTTTCTTTCTTCTCTTTCTTGTGCTGGTCACACATGCCTCCTATATCAGTGGCAGTTTTGTGCTAGTCTTTTTGCATCCTTTAAACCCCTGACCTGTAGTGATGCCATCTAGAGATCAAGTGGGAGCTGGCCTCATCGATAAAATTAAAGCATGCATTACATTTAAAAAAAAAAAAGATTTTTATATCTCTTGACAATAATTTTGACAGAGTAAATGTATTTTTTACACTGAATATATTATTCTTTAAAATATAAAGTGTTTGTGCCATGCACGTTTTCCTACAATACTACCAAATACAAAAACGTTATAAACAACAATTATAATGTGCACGTTTCTGCGAGAGTTCTTGCACCAGTCCTCGGTCCTTCATGAAAATCGGCGTGCCACCACCTCTGATAACAACCAGCCAATCAGAGCACAGCATAGTTGTACGCCTCTGCAAACCCCGCCTCACTCAAGTATTTCTCGAATATGAATGGCTCAGTCACTCTGAGAGCTGTCCGCCCATTGGCTGAGCTCTCCCCGGCTTTCAGCATTCTAATCAGCTCCGACGTGGAGAGCCGGCTCTTGGCCTTGAAGTGGCAGCATGACCTGATAATGGAGTACCTACACCAGCGTGAAAACAGAAAACAACTGTGAAACCGTATGCATATGAATACTGGTATGAAAAACTAATAGCTAACAATAATATTTCCACTGAGACGTCGGAAAATAGGTAACAAGAATGGAAAGAAGTGTGACCAAAAGCTAGTAAAACTGGAAGAAGCAGGTAAAAGTATCGTGTCTGTAGGGATAAATTATCCCTAAAGATTAACTGAAATGTTTAAACTAAATGGAAATAGATTCAATGACCATAGAAAACGTCAAAAAAATTGTTAAAAGGCTACAATGATGCAAAATATGCAAATATTGTAGTAAATGTGTGAATGATACATGGCTAAAACATTCAGGTTCTGCTTCTGATTATTAGTATACAGCCAAAGTTTACCAAGCAGACCCAAACGCTGACTGTTCAGACGTGTGAGACTGTAAAAGAAGATGCACTGAAAGTAGTTTTAATAAAAAATAAATAAATTTGCTGGTTGATGGTGTAAGAGTAGGTGGAGGCAGCCCAGTGTAGGCACACCTGAACGAAAAGACTGGATTCTTTTGGATTATTTTTTTCAACCCACATGGGGGGAAACAAAGCTCAGAAACGTCTCCTAAACAGTCACGGGCTAAAGGTTGGACATCTTTGTATAAGCTGATGATTAGTGAGTGATGCAAACTGCTGGTCTGCTGTTGCTCTTACAGTGAGTTGGAGCAGGTGTCCGGTCGTTTGAGGTGACTCCCTCTTTGGAGATGCTGCAGAAGTTCAGACGACGGGACCTGAGCAAATGGTGGGTCACCTGAAAGGTTGGAGTATACAATCTTGTCACAGAGCACACTCACTGACCATGTCAGCCAGTGTTGTGCCAAAAAAAGTGATTTCCATTGTTTGGGTTTTTTAATGTGTGTATTGATCAAGAGACTTTAGTGAACAGGAATTATAAATAAATTGAGTTTAATACATTTATCTATTCTTAAAATAACTGTTTTTGCAAAAAGGACTGTTTTCCAGTCCTTTTTGGCCCCTACAGGAATGTTGTCTGTGTTTTAAGGTGACTTGATGTCATTCATGGGGGATACACTGACATATGTTTCATACATTATAGGCCAGAAAGTCATTTATAGAAGTCTAAATATGGGAAATCACTTTTTAGCGTAACACCAGTATTGAATTATGAGAAACACACTTGTATATCAGATTTAGAAAATTTCTCTCCACCCAAAACTCCAGTAAAAGGAGAGACTATAAAATCCTTACATGTCACAGAACTAATGGGGAATTTCATCACCCTTTAATTTTCTTTTTTCTTTAAAAAAAAGAAAGAAGGATACTTACCTAATGTGACCATTTCATAGATGAGGATGCCAAAGGACCATCTGTTAGAAAAGTTCAAGAATGGCATGTCAGTTTTCTTGCTCTTCCTTTTACCTTACTGAGTGTAAACACAGCGAAATGTGCTGTTAGTGCAATAGTTTGGACTTCTAGCATCCAGGGATGGACTGGGACATGAATCAGTCTTTGACAACTCTGTCCATTGACGGGGATCTTTTATTCTCACAGAGGACACTCACACGTCGCTGCTCTTAGTGATGGGTCTCATGGCCAGCACTTCAGGCGCCTGCCACTTCTTAGTCACTGTATCTTCTCCCGTTGAACTGCCCTGGGTTCTCCTGCGGTGGGCCGGGCCGAACCCCCACAGCTTAGCTGTCATGTCTCCACCAACCAGAATGCTGCGGGCTCCCACGTTGCCATGGATACAGTTCTGACTGTGCAGGTAGTCCTAGAAGATGTTCAGACAATTTCAGAGTTAGTGAGCACGAGGGCCTTTAGGAGATGTCCATTACTACAAATACATAAATAAAAGAAATAAAACCATAAGCCAGACTTCACAACATTAACATCCAGAGCTTAGGGGCTGAATGTTTGCTTGGTTAACTTCTGATTTCTCAGTGAAGTCCAGTGTCCCGGCTCAAATTTGGGTGTAAAAATGTGATTTCTATGTAATGTTTTTAGTTTGAACAGGTTTTTGGCACATTTCTAAAATAT